ACACGCACGCATGCATCAAATCTACAATCAATTATCTACAAAGGTGGTTGGGTTGCACTTACAGCCGCCCATCGGCGTGTCTGCAATCCACTGTACAGGTGGACTGCCTAATTTATATACTGTCACACATTGTCCACGATCCGACATGGGACAGGGTGTCTGAGTTGCACTTACTGCAACGAGTTATACCCAAAAGGAGTTGAACAATCACAATTTTTTGAAGAGTTGTCGTTTTTTACGGGCCACGAAGTGCTCGGGATCATCTACATATTATAGGATTTCCATTGAATATACTGAAATACAATTTTTAAAAAAATTAGTAGGTACAGACTATCGATGACCAGCGCCATTAAGTGATTTATTTTTAGATAATATTTAATTAATATCGTTTGTAACTCAAATGTACAACAAATTAACAGAAGGCAATGACTAATCTGCCACAGGCTGATTGCCTGCAGTCTCAATTGAATTACTCATTAGTTTACAAAGCTAGGTGCCTAGGTATATTATATTATAATCAGAGACTGCTGCAGAGAGTCAGAATAAATACCTAATTTCTGTTTATTGTACAATAATACATGCATTTTTAGTCGATTGTCGTTAATATTAATACAGTAGGTAATATTAATTATTAATATACAACAATAATAATTACGATTTACGATGAACATTTGAAGAGATTTCAAAACGATTTTCACGCAATATCATTAAATTATAAGTATACCATTTTTACGTATATAAATAATATTAAAGAACTTAATAAAATTTTTAAATCCTTACTTAATATATAGTAGTAAAATATGTGAAAGTCTGTCTGTTACGTTTTCACGCCTAAACCGCTAAACCAATTTTCATGAATTTTGGTATAGAGATAGATGGGTTACATTGGAGAAAACATAAGCTACTTTTTGAAGCGAAAATAAAACTTGAAGAGGATGGGTAAAAAAAAGGAGGTCTAGCACTTTTTTGTTTATACATTAGATTGCCATTATTGGTATCAAATATTATAGTGACCTACCCCTCATAATATACTGTTATACCGACTGTCATAAAAGTACCTATTTTTCATCTATCAATACACCCACCCACCCATATTTAAGGTGTTGCCCGCGGAGAAGAACTTGGACCCTATGTTACAAGCCACTGTATAATATATCAAAAATATAAATCAAAATTTTTAATTTACCCTAGCTTCTGCTGCAGAGCCCTCCACCCCATATTTTTATCGGTAAAAGCATGAGGCATCGCGCATGCGTGTGTGTGTGTGTAAGTGTGTGTCTGTGTGCATAATAATTAACATTTATACCCGAACCGCTGGAGAATGGGATAATATCGTGTGATTAACACGTTGTTCGGGTTGTTTTTTTATTTTTCGTTATCCTTCGTTAATTTTATATACGCAATAATAAATTATTACCGTGCCTCTCTACTATGATGGTGTATATACGTGCAGCACATATAATATAGTATATACATGTTGTATGTACTTTCCTCGGCGATTGCTAAAATGAAAAAATAATAAAATGTAACCCGTTAAATATCCTCAAATATCACTTTTCATGTATTATAGATATTGGATATAAAAATACGTATCACCTAGATGGCTAGAAAATAATATTTTATTATAATTAGGTAAACGTATGGTTATACCGAGTGATCCATTTATAACGTAAGACACTAAATATATTTCAAAAAATATTAACTTTTTCAAAAAAAATATACCTAATTTTTACGACTTTTTTAAATCTCTATAGTTTTTTTTAATGAAAACATATACATTTATGAATTTCTATTATTCCAAAGAAGAATATTTTTGGGGGTACTTCGATTTATGAACATCGAATTTTGGACAAGTAGCTTATGAGTTATATACATTATACTTATATAGTTATATGTATATTTATATTTCGATGAGCGTAGTGGTGTAATATAATACATTATTGGGGTACCCAGCAAAATGTTAGTCCACTACTCCACTCATCAACACTTAAAATATTTATAACACTAGGTACTAGAATACTAGTTCAAAACTTGATTTTTATTGATCAAAATAATCCGAAAAATATTTGGCTTCGGAATTTCAAATTCAAAATGTATGTTGTCACTCAAAAAAGTAAAAAAGAAATGTTAAATATATTAAATAATAATATATATTGTTTTACAACTACTTAAAAATTATGTAAAAGAAATATTTTCGAAAACGCGTTAGTGTTTTCTGAAATAATGAGTGTCTTGCGTTAAATGGATTACTCCGTATTTATATATGTTAAGTACCTACTTGCTGCTTTATATCAACTTAGCCGTGGCGTACTCAAGAGGGTTGGGAATTTCGTCTCCCCACCACATTGAAATTTTAAAGTCACAAGAGGTTTTCGTACCATTTATATAAATGGTACCTACGAATGTACGATTAAAGTAGAATTAATTTTTCACGGATGATAAATACATTTAATGAATTATATGTCGGTAAAAACTTCAGCGATAAAATGTGTATAAATTCAAATCTTGATTATGTTTTGATTGCAATTACAGCCGAATTCTTTCTCTAATTTCATTTTTTTTTTTCAGTTATGAAATAGTTTTTCATGGTTAGGTTTGGTTATTGACTAATTTACCAATTTATCGTTCAACACTATTGATAGTTTTAATTAAACTAGAACTATAGAAAATAATATGTACCTAATACCTATACAATACCCATAATACATAGAAAATAAAAATGTCTACGTGAATATTTTATTTATACCTGCAAGTGCGGAGATACAATAATATTAGTGTACTTAGTATTTTTCGTTTCCCGTTCGTAGATTTAATAGTGGTTTATTTTTGTTTTCTCCTTCAGGTGTTGCGCAACGGTTAATATTTAATATAATTAAAATTGTAATAGGTATTATCATACAACAGTATTATTAGGTCCCTGCAGGCAGCAAAAGTGTACATTATCAGAAATCATTGTTGTAAATTCATAACAGATGCTTTTAACAATCGATAATTGAGTAAGTTGCTATAGGTATAATAATATTATGTTCAATATTTTAACGAAATAATCATTTTTTACTACTCAAATATCACCAACTTAACATGTTGGCATTTGTTTTACATACATTTTCTATCATTTTTCCCACGCAAAACGTGTTTATATACGCCACTGATTAACGGGCACCTATAATAGGCGTCCGGGACTATACTTTTGCCCTCTCGTTTTATGATCGAACAATCATAAATATTCATAATGTATAATATGGTAATTTATGTTCCTACCTGTAGGCAACGTCACGCATCAATCATGGCATGTTAGCTAGGTTATATTATGGTCCAATGATGGCCGACGTACGTGGGTTAGGCCTGCTTAAAACTGCTCCAATCATGGACGAAAAACTAATATAATATGAGGTATGTTAAATGTAGTTTCCACGAATTGTACATATTTCCATTATATAATTATTTTTACGTTTTAGCGCGTAATCGAATTCACTGGACCGATTTTATGAACATAATAATATACTGTGAGTGTTTATTATATTTTATGCGCACAAGTATGATGTACATTCATCATTAATGTCTTTATTTAGTTTATTTACTATATACATTATGAAAGTGCAAAACGATTTGGTGGCATAAATATTATTATTATTTTGACGATTGCCAGAAAATCGACAATATTCTCGTTCGGGTGCCAGCCGCAGTAGCAGCAGTCCTGTCGGCAGTTTAGACGACTTTTTCAACGCTTTTCCTTCAACGCAGACGGGCCAGATGGTTCTAAATTTAAGCACAAAATATGTTGACACGCGCTCGCCACCGCCGACGTGTGACATGTCATACAATAATAAATTGCATTTTACATAAATCATAAAATATTGTATAATATTATTATTGTTACAATACTAAAATAGTTTAATGCACGATACATCAATACATTAAGTAATGTTATATGACTTGATAATAATTAAAAAGATAAAATTAGATTGACTTTTATAAAATGTATGTTATTATATTTACGCTGTTATAGCTGATCCTGCACGGCGTTGGTAAATAAAATTTGTTTACCTTGTCTTAAATTCGGTTAAACGAAAACTAATTTACTGATTTTGGGTGTCTTAAAGTTATTCCCAATTAATAACTATTTATTTTTTTTCTTGTAACCATTGGCAACCCTAAACAGTCAAAAAAATATTTGTTTTTTGTGAACCAACAAATCTTTGTGTAAGCCCTCTAAAAAATATGAATTTTGTAAAATGGGCTTCGAGGTGTTCATCCTCGGATATAGGATTACCTATGTACCAAATGTCAGAAGTCAGAACCATGAACTGCCACAGCTGTCGGTCTGACCATGTATAGATCCGACTGTAAATAATTTCAACGACAAAAACGGAAAAACAACAGTAAGTTATTGTTTTTCTTCAAATATCAGCTAAAGATACTCTTATGTACCTATACATATATATTAATTACGTGGCGGTGTCACACATGAAAAATTTCACTCCACAGAATCCAAATAGGTATAGGTGTAAATGTATAATAGACTTGAATATTACATTGATCGTCTTTTGTTTTATTATATATATTTTTTTATTTTTTAATTCAAAAAAAAATATGATATATTATAATATAATAGGTAAAAAACAGTTATTGATTTAAAAAAAAAAAAAAACAAGTAGGATATTTCATAATAATGCCGCGTGGAAACAATATATATAATAAGACATAATTCATACGTTATTTTAAAACCATTTACATACATACCGCTCGGATAATATTATTATAATAACAATATTACGATAATACGACACACACATCATAATAATAATAATATAATAACCGTTTACAATAGTTACAACGACGTACACCGCGTCTGCAAACTCGACATGATAATTAATCGCATCGCACCTCTTTATTTTTTAAATGTGTGTACATATATAACATAATATATCATATAAATTATTATAATATTATATTATATTAAATGGTACTCGTCGGGTCGTGCATGGTGTGTGGCGTGATTATTTGCCGATGATGATTTTCCTGCCAGCGCCCATGTTTTGGCCCGCTTGCGTGGCGCCCTTGTTTTGTCCAGCCTGCAGCCCAATGATGGTTTGACCGGCCTTTAATGTTTCCTCGGAGAAATCTCGTTTAGCCTCGTCGGAGGGTTTTGGTCCCAAGAAAGGTCCCTTCCATTCCGGGTGTCTGTATGTCTACACGATATTACAAGCAGTATTATAAGTACAGACTGTGGTCGTCAAAATATGAGCATAGGTAATATTATAATAGGTGTAATATTATGTATATTCTAGTGTGGTTGGAGGGTAAAGACGATTTTCAAAAATTATTCACGAGACAATTTCTAAATAATATTTTAATCATAGTTTTTCTCACCTCACGGCCCAGAGCGTACAGTGTCATCACCACTTGAGAGAAGTCTTTGCACTCCCACAGGTCGACGGTTTGAAAAACGTCAATGTCGGCCACTCCGTACGCTTTGATGGCCTTCTGGAAACTGTAAGTGCGAAAACGTATTATAGATTATTACGATATTATAATATAATATTATATTATTATGGTTACACACGCAGGCTAAAAATAAAACACAGCATAGGTATTATAGTATTTTGATGAAATATGTGTGTCACCCCTGCGGACGGTTGTACACCTACACCCACCCACAAGCAAATCGTTTACGCCCCTTTTCGCCAGTCGCAACCATTAAACACCGTCGCCACGGTTAACGTAAGTCATGACTCTCTATAGACACATACGAACATGATATACAGAGTGCAGGGTATAGGTATAATATTATGTATAAGGATCCCGTACGCTCAGATGCTATCGTATAAGGTTTATCATCGATAAATGATTATAACAATGTCGACATCGATATATATATATATATATGTATTATAATATAAAATATACTTCGCTGCAATATATATATAGGTATACACACAATTCGAGTTTTTGTTTTTGTATAACATCGTATATAATATGCGACAGACTTCGCACCTATATCTTGCCAAACTTGAAGTAGATACTTCCCTATAATCCCTACCCCTGTGCACAATTTTCATATTATAATGTTATATATTATTATTATACACGCTGCACTTTATGATTTATGAGTCGAAAAACTTTCGCCCGGAACTCCGGTTTGCAGCGACGCGCTTAAAAGTTTATTTCACCGAGTGTCGGAGTGTACATGTATAAAAGTTTGTGCTTCCTCGAGAACTCTTAACGTTAAAATTTACTTAGCGTGACACGACGCCCCCGAAATTATATATGCATTCGCAGTCCCAAAATAAATAACGCCTCGTAAAATTATTGTTTCAACCGTCCAGGCTACGTGTTTGGTTCGTATTCAGTGAATAAAATAATATTATATAGATATATGTTTAAATATTTTACACTGCCTATCTGTAAAAAGAAAAAAAAATACAAATTTAATGTCAGACAAGGCCTGCCACTCGTTCAACATTTTTTTGAAATGTAGTTACTTAAGTATAGGTATTAGGACATTAGGTACACGAGTTCTCTTATCGAACACTCTTCGAAAATATAGTATCGTATAATGTTTGTATATAGCAACATTTAAAAGTCAAAACGTTGGACTTCTGACAAAGAAATTGAAGACCTGCGGGACTCGCAGTAAAAAATGACACTTGTATATTATTATATGCTAGGTATATACACAGCCAGTGGCGTGTTGGCCGTGATTTTGAAGAACAGTTGCTGGATAATTTTAAAGGGATGTGTGGGTTCCGGGTGCTTCAGTAGGTACTTTATTTAGAGATAAATTGTAGTACAAGACTGATTTTAACTGAATATGATATTCAATAATAATACGTATTATACATTTTATATTATGAAGTATTCAAGTATAGGTCGTTCAAGAATAAAAAAATTCACTTCTCCACGCAACTGTATACAGGCATACAGCAGCAGTGTAGGGTTGATCTAGATTTTTTTCACTACAAAAAACTGTCAATACTAGGTACTCAAAATCTGAATAATATATCATTGTTGACATTATTATTGTGTGGTCACATTGCCGTATATAATAATATATGTAGGTGCACGTGAAAGTGTGTGTGTAACGTATATTATAGTTTCCTACAGCAAAAAAAGGTCGCGTAGGGGATGGTTCAAGGGGGTTCTAAAACACCCCCTCATCGACGTAATGATTACCCCCCCTATTCGATGTACCTAGGTACACACACATAACACGACGCCAAAAGTTGAGGGAATAGTCTGCACTCTGCGCCGTTTAATTGTTATTGATGGTCGCCATCGTCGTCCCCGGAACATGTTTACTGGCTGTTTTCAAAATATAAAATATAATGTATACAGCAAGAATGCTCTGAAAAAGTTTGCTCGTAATGTATTGCGTTCACTATAATATTTTCCACAGTGCACGATTTTCAATTAATTGACGTATTTACTATTTACTATTTACAGTGTCTATATTATATTGTGGGGTGTGTTTTCCCTTTGTGTTAGCTTTATGGGGCAAAACAACCAAGACCCGTAGAACTGCACTGTTCTAGTTCGAGTATTATGTTATTATATAATATTTTATATTATGGCAGGTACGCCACGGATCAATCAAAGAGCTTAATTTTTGATCCAGGTGTACATATTAATATGATATTCAATTGCAGAAATCGAATTGAAAAGTTTCACTATAATCGTTTTCTCGATGTAAACACGGAAGCTGTGACGCTTCACGACGCTTTATCTGATATATATACTATGGCTAAACTGTTTTTAATTTGATATCTGCTAACGGTCTAGCGAGATAAACAATAATGTTCGGATGAAAAATAATAGGTTTAGAAATTGTCGATGCATGACTCACAGGTTAATGTTTTCCATCATTTTGAACTGTCCTCCGGTAGTGTTGTATTTTGGTACACTTCCGGGGCTGATGGTGTTGATGAGTTTGCACAGTACTTGGCCATCCTTGATGTATTCCTCCAACGGGAAACTCTTGGGGAATTTATATCCCAATATAGCTTCCATCCATTCCTGGGCTTCCTTCTCTTGTTGGGGGTCTCGCTTGGAAGCGAGCTGTGTCGGGTAAAACAAAAAATAAAAAAATGATTTTACACATTTTGGTATATACTATTAAACTTTCATAACACCGCCGACGATATTCACGACAACGTGCATTATGATATAATATTGTATTTAATAACGCTGACGACGAAATTATTATGTTTACGATATTATTATATTTCAGACGACTTACTTTAGCACGAACTGCACGTTCCAAAGACATGAGTATTACGAGGATACACACGTTGCAATAACGACACGAAGTAAATGAAAATACGCGTAAGAGCGAGGGAACAAGTGGTCGACAGTTATTCGTTTGTGCGAGCTTCGGCTGACGGACGAAAATTGAAAATCGCTCAACACCGTGGTCCCTTTATATACAGTCGCGGGCGTAGCGGCAACTGGAGAGATCTAACTCGGAAATAGATCCATACCGACCATACTGTGTGTATATTAATACGCTTATAGAATATGACACACGTCTAAAAATAATGCGTGGCCCACGGTCATAATATTGGTGAACACAGTCTCCCTCGCTATATATTGTGCTATACGTAATGAATCGCGTAGCGGTCCGTCCCACTCGGAATGACCCGTTTTCTTGAAACGTGTGAGAGTTTTTCTCGTCAAAAACGAATTTTTATGGGAAAAAGAGACCCGGGCCGCACTGACTGTACGTTGCCAGCGCGCGTCTTTCGAACACGCGGTATAACATTTTATACCGCAGATGAGTCACGTCATATTATATAGCCACTATAGCGTATACTTTTCTCGTCACTATATATTATTATATACTTACTATTAGAGCTTATGAGCTACCTTCTATATAATATACATGTTAATATGCATTTAGGCTCAAATAACATACATCTTTAGGGAGCGAGACCTCCATAGCTCCGTATATTTATTTAAAAAAACACGGGTCGTGCCCCCCCCCTCCAGTAACCCGGGACCTATCTATACATTGATTAAGTATATATAATTAACATTTTATATCAATGTTTACCTAACAGTGGCTCCGAGTTCAGCAAAAAAGGTGCATCAATTATACCAAAGCTTAAATATTCACCCACCACCCAATTCATCATTCAAAAAAGGAAGAAAATATTTAAACACCAAACCACACAAAACCGCTCGCAAACTACACAGATTTTATTAAATAATTAAATATTTTATTTTTTTGTTGTATCCATTTGTTTATAAATGGTAACTATTGGTTACAGATAGTAATATTAATAGAAGAAATTAGCAGAAATTAATATTTTTGTGTGTATTAATAGTTTCCATTGGTTACTGGACAGATGAGGTAAAATAATGCATCAGATCGTCACATTTACATGGTATGGAATAATCAGTGGCGTATTTACCGTGGTGGTCCAGGGGTACTGGACCCCCCCCAGAATCCCACCAAAAAAAATATTCTTTCATATTTGCAGACCCCGATTTATGTAAGCACCCGCGGACAAGGTTTTTCGTCAACATTTTTCTTTTTAAATCTAAGATTTTAAAATGTAATACAAGGTTCTTATAAGATTATCTACCATTATCAAAAAAAAAAATGTCCAAAATAAAGTCAAATTAAATTTTTATGAGCTTTTGAAATTCAAATTTTTACAATATTGGATATTCACTCGATTTCTCATGTAGCGATTTCCTTATTTTGTTATAATTCAAAAACGAATAATTGTAGATACATGACAATTTCACTGAATGTTTATATTAGCATTTCCTATATAGATACAATTTTAGTAAATTATGTTACCAAAAAATCTAAAAAATACATAAGCACAATTTATTTTTATAGGTATTTTAAGTTCAAATTTGGACGAAATTACATAAAAAAACACCTAGAATAACTATTTTTGTTATTTTGTTGTGATTGTATAATATTATTATTCGTGGGTACTTGAAACTTCTAAAGTACACTATTATATTTCTATGAATTATGATAGTATCAGGGTTTATTGTTGATGTATAACGCGTTATAAGTACCTAATGGATATTGTGATATGATTAATTTGGAATTTATTATAGGTACCTATAATAGGGCAATTTTTTTTAATACCATAGATAAGTATATAATATGTTTTATACCTAGACTGATATACGCTCAGAATCGTTTTTCTTATACAATGATATTATATCATTGAATTCAAAATTAATACCATCCATTATTCAGTGACCCACTTGTAACCTACTGTACAGCTGAGCATCTTTTTACTTATAAATATATTTATTTTTTTAATGTACTTATTAAAATGAAATTAGTTACATAGGTACGTATTGCCATATTATAGTGTGACAATGTACAAAAATTAATTAATATAATCAGCATAAAAACATATATTTACATTTATATGTTACAATAGCACTAAGCCCTTATTTAGCTTACATTTTTTTATTCCCCCCCCCTCGTCTAAAATATTTTACCTTTAACCCGTGAACACCCTTGTGACGGTTTAATATAATTACTTTTCAATCACACGACTTTACGTCGTTCGAAAGCGAATAGAAATCGTGGCTGTATATTATTATTATACGACGTAGGAAGGTATAATACTCGTATGTGAATAATAATAATTAATTACGAAAAAAAAAAATAATAACTATAATTTATCTCCTCCGGCCTATTGTTATTGTCATTATTGTTGCTGTTGTTGTTTATAGTTTAGGCATCCGACGGATGATAAAAAACATTCGTATACTACATAATATACAATATACCAGCTATGTATATATAGGTAATAATATTATGTACTGCGACATTGTATGATAATATGTTTCGATCTCAACGTACATATTACTATATACGTACTCGTGGGTGTTGGGTATGTGGGTACGTGACGGCGCTGTATGTGAGCCACTGTGTGCGTCGTGTGCTTGCGCGTTTGCGTAAACCTGCGGTCCCTGCGGACTTTGCAGGCCCGATGAGAGGGGAATCGCGCGAGGGTGTAAAAACAAAATTGAATACGGGCGCGATGCACTGCACAAATATATATTATATGTACAAACGCGGATAATATAACAGCGTGGCAGTTAAGCCTGCGTGTATACAGTGTATACGGTTTTAAATGAATATTTATGGTCCGTCAGACCGACTACCACCCGCCCCCGCCAGCCCCGCGAAACTATTAAATCCAGCGCACCTACCTATAACGTCATGTACATATATATACAACATCTGTATATATATATATATATATTAAATTAAAAGTGTTTTCTACGCGATCAAACCCGTAGTCACTGCAGTGATCTTCTCCAGTAGGGCGGGGGGGGGGACATCATCGGTAAATCAGCTGCAGTGATCGAGTCGAGTAGTGTAATAGATACGTATTATAGGACCTATTATGTTATTATTATCGATGGTTAAGACTCTAAAGGACAATCCATTGTTGTCGCGCAACCCTAATATTATGGTCGAAAACGAGATTTCAAAATCCCACTAATTTCCATACGATTTTTTTGTAATTCAACTAAGAGTCGTAAACTACTAAACTCGTAATACCCACAAATTATTATTCGACTTTTAGAACATTTTTTTTTCCTTTTTTCCTTTATTCAAACGTCGTGTTATAATAGCCAACGATATAGGAGACTTTAAGGTGTTTAATAGTGAGGCTCACTACGCATATAGGCCTTATAATTTATATAAGGTGAATATGAAGCCGCATCGTAATTATCATTTCCACCATTACTATTAAACGAAACGTTTAATTAGCATCGCATTTTGAAACGTTTCAAGATAAAACAATTCATTTTAAAACAAAATGTATATTTCATATTCATATAGCCTTTAATAAAAAAAATAGTTTGATTATGAAATATTAAATAATAATGCAATACCCCGATTGTCCCTTAATACAAATCATCGTAATTAAAATTCCTGTCATAATTATTATGTTGTAAAATTATGTAACTAAATAAAAATAATTTTTATACTGATGTAAATAATATTACCCAACTAAATTCTTTAAACTAAATTCATTTACCGCAGCATAAAAAAAACACTAATACGGTAATTAGATAGAGTGTAGGTATAGGTATTAGACTATAAACCAGGGGTCTCCAAACTTTTTTATTCAAGGGCCACAAAAAAATCAAATGCTCTTAGCGGGCCAAACGTTTATTAACACATATAATTTTTAATTTTATGATAATATATTAGGTACCAGCTACCTATATAAATAATATATTTACTTTATATTTTTGTATAAAATATTGTTTACCTTACAATATACTTAAATAAAAATAAATAGGTATAAATATAATATAATATAAATACATTTTTGAAATAATTTTTTTATCTATATTTACCTATGCATCCTATGGGGGCCACGGGCCGGTTAAAACTTGTTCGCGGGCCGTAGTTTGGAGACCCCTGCTATAAACGACTATGTTTGTAAATATTTATTGTTCTGATAGTGTCATCTGAAAAACTATGTTTTTGTGAGTTACGACAGTTAGCCATTTGACAATTTGGCACAGAATAAATCTTATAGGTATTTAATATATTGTGAAGTTAACTTAGGACTTTGAAGTGATTTCTGGGCCATTAATAGTAGTACAGTACATAATATTATCAAGGTTATCTAACGACTAACAGACAACAGTATATTTGGTAGTATGCATACCTATACATTATATTATAAGTAACTCACGCTTCACGATAAAAAATGAAAATATGGTAGTATGGTCCAGAGTGGTGGAACTATACCTAGATAAATTGAGAATGTAAATCATATTTATCGACTTAAAGGGTCCCGGTCTCCCGGATAAACCAGCACAAAAACAACCTATTTTCATTGTTGATAATAAACTTCACAGTTATTAACAAATTAATATTACAATACAATCATATTATTATAAGTTGTAACAGTGGCAACCCAAAACAGTATAACCAACAACCTCATTAATTAAGGAAATCATAAACATAAAATTCTAACTCATAAACCTCATACTAATAAGCTCATAAAAAATTATTGTCAATTTCCACTAAACTTTTTTTAGATTAAAACTTTTTAAGCTAACAAAAATTTATGAGGAACCTTGACACCTTGTATTAATTATTAAAGTCTTTTGACCAATCGAAAAATTGAAAAACAATTAAAACAATAATTTAAAAATAATAAAAAATTTCTCAAATCTATAACTAGCTTAAAAAGAGTCAAACTAAATTGCAAATGTCATAATGTGTGGAAAACCATCATCTAAATATTTTGTAAA